GCAAATAAACTTTAAAATAAAAATAATCCAAGTCCAAGGACTTATGGGTGATCGTACAGCAAGCCAGATGTTTAGATTGTTATTGCTTATTTTATTCATTCATATCCCGACTTTATTCCTTTTTATAAATCACTCCAGGCTGCGAACTCGCCTAAATACGCCTTCGTCCTTCTGTTTTCCCCTTATTATTCTCAGTCTTATGAGTTCAAATCGTCTTTATGAAATTATGTTCATATCGTCCGTGTCTGCGGGGGCCGGGGAACCATTCTAAAGGTCAGGACGAACTGAAAAGTTTGGGCTTTAAAGAAACCCGATTTAATTTGCGTGAGGAAAAGCTCTGGTTTAGGGGAAAAAATCGAAACAAACAAAAAAAAAAATCGACCCTCCGCCTCAAGACGGAGGTAAGAAAGCTGCGAAGGGGAGCGAAGGAATGGAAACAAATTCAGATCGTTTTCGCTCCGGGCTGGAAGAAAGACGCGCCGCGATGAATTTTTAAACGGAATTGTTGTCTTCTCGAGTTCCTTTGTCAATAAAAGCCCTCACTCAGGTTGATCTTGTCTGGGAGGCTTGGCTCACCGGCCTAGGAGCCGGCCCTGCTCTCTCCCGGGCGGTAAAATTAAGAGCAAAATGTTAAAAAAAGAAGTATAAAGTGGATTGTGGATTTTAAACTTCTTCTTCTTCTTCTTCTTCTTCTTCTTCTTCTTCTTCTTCTTCTTCTTCTTCTTCTTCTTCTTTCTTCTTCTTCCTTCTTCTTCTTCTTCCTTTCCTCTTCCTCTTCCTCTTCCTCTTCCTCTTCCTCTTCCTCTTCCTCTTCCTCTTCTCCTCCTCCTCCTCCTCCTCCTTCCCTCCTTCTCCTTTCTCCTCCATTATTATCATTATCATTCAATCCTGACAAATAACTAGGGAGAAAAATAACTAAGAGCAAAATGTTAAAAAAAAAAAGTATAATGTGGATTGTAACTAGGGAAGACAATACGTTTAGAAAGGAGGCTGGGGCACACAGATAGTAAAATCCTCCCCCCCCCCAATTTGTTCCTCTCCCTCTCACCCACGTTTTCCTCTCTCTGAAGTTGATTCAGACCAGGGAGAGGAGCAGCAGGGAAAGAGGGAAAAATCACAATGCTGGTGGTCTGCACAAGGCTTGGACTACAACACCCATCCTCCCCCGCCTGGCTGGCTGAGAAGGCTGAAGGTTGGAGTCTAGGCAATTGTGAGAGAGAGCACCCAGTGGGAGAAACTGTTCTGAGAAGTCTATTCAAGCGACCTCAAATGATCCTGGTGTGTGTGTGTGTGTGTGTGTGTGTGTGTGTGTGTGTATTTGTGGTGATACCAAGTGTGATTGCAACTCCTTTTGCTCTTTGGAACCAGCTAAAAGTTGCATGCAGCCGGTGCTTTCACTTCTCCTTCAGCTAAGTTTCAGGGGGTGAAAAAAATATATTTCCTCACTGGATGGAATCTTGGCCACAAATTGTCTCGTTTGAGTTTGAAAGGAAGGTTTTAAAAAACCTGCCTTTCTTTCCCATTGAGTTTTCGATATCGGCTTGCCAGGAACCTCAGAATATTGCAACGTGCACCTTGTGTTCGGAAGGAAACTTTTCTAGGGCGTGTGCCATGATTTTACACTTACGTTCAACACAAGCCCGGAGCAGGGAAAGTGTTAGAAGCATCTATAAATTAAGAGGGAGGGAGGGAGTTTCTGTGGAAGGATTCCCATGGGTTTAATAATGGAGTTTATTCATTCCTGGACATATACCCGTGTTTTCCCGAAAATAAGACCCTGTCTTATATTTTTTTGAACCCCGAAATAAGTGCTTGGCCTTATTTTCGGGGAGGTCTTGTTACTTTGGGACGCGTGGAGCAAGATGGGGCTCCTCTTGCCATTTTACCTGATTTCCAGCTCGGTCTCCCTAACCCTACCCAGAGGAAATGGCGGGGACCAGCTGCACATGTGTTTAAATATTTTTTGGGGAAGGCTTATTTTTGGGGAAGGCTTATTTTCAGGGGGGGGAGTATTTTAGTGCATGCGCTCAAAAGCCCGATTGGGCTTATTATCAGGGGAGGTCTTATTTTAGGGGAAACATGGTATATGCTATCTGGGAAGTTGCTCTGGGTTTGTAAAAGCTGAGCTCAAATTGCCTTTTTTTAAAAAAAAGCATTCCAGAACTTGCAAACTTGAGATTCACCAAAGAAATGCAAAAAGACAAACAAGACTAAGTTTGGACTTTGCATTGAATTGTGATGAGAACTGGAAGCATTACTACCCGTGTTTCCCCCAAAATAAGACCCGGTCTTATATTGATTTTTGCTCCAAAAGACGCATTAGGGCTTATTTTCTGGTTAGGTCTTATTTTGAGGGAAATACGGTACTAAATGCATCCATCTGGCTGACAGTCTTTAACTGGGGCTTATTTTTGGGTAGGTCTTATATTACAAGCATCCTGAAAAAATCATGTGAGGGCTTATTTTCCAGCTGGATCTTATTTTCGAGGAAAATAAGGTACTAAATGCATCCGTCTAGCTGATGAGCTTAACTGGGCCTTATTTTGGGGGATAGGGCTTATATTACGAGCAACCTGAAAAATCATGCTAGGGCTTATTTTCCGGTTGGGTCTTATTTTTGGGGAAACAGGGTAATACAATGGTGTGGATTTTTCAGTGGTGCCCATTTTCCAATGCTGCTTTCCTCTTTGTCAGGGGGTGAGGATTGGGCACCAGGGATGGCCAAGCAAGTGAGAATTCCTTGATGAATTTATTTTAACTCCTTCCAACGATGTCAAAAAAGGATCCCTTAACTCAGAAGGCCAGGAAGAGGAAGCCAAGAGTTTAAACTTGGGAGCTTCAGTTTAAAAAGTTGCTTCTTTATCTGTGGTGGGCAACCAAGTTTTTATTCTGGTCTGCCATATAGATTCTGACTTAGTCAGTGGTGCTGGCTGGAATTCTTTTCCCAAATATGCTAAGTGCAGAATTAAGCAGTTACAGAATTGTTAGGTGCTGTCTGAACTTGGTGGTTTTCTTGCAAACGTCTCATTACCCAGCTAGGTAACATCATCAGTGCTAGAAGGGAGTGGGGCTTGCTCTCTATTTGTCTGCAAAAAAACCACCAAGCTCAGAAAGCACCAAAGACCCCTGAGCTACAAATAACCTCTTCTATTGGTAGTTAGAGGGACATGGTAGCTCAGTGGTTAAGACGCTGAGTTTGTCGATCAAAAGGTCGGCAGTTCAGTGGTTCGAATCCCTAGTGCTGCGTAATGGGGTGAGCTCCCGTTCCTTGTCCCAGCTTCTGCCAACCTAGCAGTTCGAAAGCAGGTAAAAAATGCAAGTAGAAAAATAAGGACCACCTTTGGTGGGAAGGGAACAGCGTTCCGTGCGCCTTTGGTGTTGAGTCATGCCGGCCACATGACCACGGAGACGTCTTCGGACATCGCTGGCTCTTCGGCTTTGAAACAGAGATGAGCACCGCCCCCTAGAGTTGGGAACGACTAGCACGTATGTGCGAGGGGAACCTTTACCTTTATTGGTAGTTAGACAATTGAGACTTACAGAGCGAAATCTGAAGTCCGTCAGATGGATGGTATCCATCTCCCAAGTCATGTTTTTTTAGACCAATCTGTAACCAGTGGGGCAAAGAACATATGATGAAGAAGAGTCTTGTGGCACTCTGAAGATGGCCAATTTACAGTCAATACCTAATTGGGGGCTCTCCTCATGATTTCATAAATTGGTTTAGAAGAGGAGGTTAGTGTTTTTTTCTAATGTCATCAAAAGATGGCTATGATGACATCTTCTCCAGTCACATTTTGGGCCACCACCATTGGCTGGCGGATGTTAGAAATGGTCTGAGTGAAAGAGGTCCACTTCATTAAGCAGGAACAAAGAACTTGTGGTGGAGAGAAATCCTCACATTTCCACACCAAGATCTCTATTGCTATCTCATAACATAAAGACGTTGAGACTCTAGAACAGTGATGGCTAACCTTTTTGCCATCGCGTGCCAGGAGTGGGGGCGGGGGAGGTTCGACCATGCCCACACCCATAATTCTGTGCGTCCCGCCCTATGCATGCGTGCGCAACCCTCCCCTCCCGCTCCGGAGGCTGGGGACAGCAAAAAAGTCACTTCCTGTCCAACCGAGAGTTGGGAAATGGGCCTCTGAGGGGGTGGGGAAGGCTGTTTTTGTCCTCCCCAGATGCATAGAGAGGATCTGGAGCCAGGTGAGAAAGAAAAACAGGCCTTCCCCACCCCGCCCAGGACCTCTGGAGGCAGGAAACAGCCTGTTTCCCTACTTCTGGTGGGCCCAGAAGGCCCGAAAATCAGCTGGCTGGTGCACGCATGCACGCCAGAGCTGAGCTGACATGCCCACTGATATGGCTACATGTGCCAAAGGTTCACCATCACTGCTCTAGAAAGAGTGCAGAGAAGAGCAACCAAGATGATGAGGGGACTGGAGGCTAAAACATATGAAGAATGGTTGCAGGAACTGGGCATGGCTAGTCTAGTGAAGAGAAGGACCAGGGGAGACAGGAGAGCAGTCTTCCAATATTTGAGGGGCTGCCACAGAGAGGAGGGGGGTCAAGCTATTTTCCAAAGCACCTGAAGGCCAGACAAGGAATAATGGATATGGAAACTGACCAAGAAGAGATTCAACCTAGAAATGAGGAGAATTTTTCTGACACTGAGAGCAATCAACCCATGGAATAGAAGTTGCCTTCGGAAGTTGTGGGAGCTTCATCACTGGAAGCTTTCAAGGAGAGGCTGCCATTTGTCAGAAATGGTGTGTAGGGTCTCCTGCATGGGCGGGGGCTGGACTAGATGACCTACAAGGTCCCTTCCAACTCTGCCAATCTGTTAATCTAACCGCCTTCCTACAAGGTTCCGATTTTCTAATCGCTCAATGCCGCCTCCATTTCCTTTTCTTTGGAAATCTGTCCTCAAGCAGAGGACAGAATGGGGCTTTGCCAGATGCTCCTCCGTCCTTCTCAGCTGTCTCCTTTTCCTTCCGCAGGAGAATGTTCCCCACGTTCCAGGTGAAAATTTTCGGGATGGATCCCATGGCCGACTATATGCTCCTGATGGACTTTGTACCGGTGGATGACAAACGTTATAGGCAAGTATTGGAAGTCTTCTCTGGGGAGTGGAGAGCTCTGCAAGGGTTGCCTTGAATGGACGTAACCTCCGAGTAGGCGGCCGAGTGTCTTGCAAGGAACGGAAGGGGGGTGGAAATCACAAGTTACAACTAGATCCCCGGGCTGTGAGGCCTGTCTCCTTTTTCCCAATGCTGGGGGTGCAAATTCCCCACCGAGGCAGTATGTCCCTTGGAGGGATTCAGTATAGATTTTGCAGAATTGTGAGGGACAGTTTGGTCTGGTGGTTAAGGCAGCAGGCTAGAAACTGGGAGGTTGTGAGTTCTAGTTTCCACTTAGGCATGAAAGCCAGCTGGGTGACTTGGGGCCAATCACTAGGCAGTGGTGAATTCTAGTCCTGCCTTAGGCATGAAAGCCAGCTGGGTGACTTTGAGCCAATCACTAGGTGATGATGAGTTCTAGCCTGCTTTAAGCATGAAAGCCAGCTGGGTGACTTGGGGCCAATCACTAGGTGATGGTGAATTCTAGTCCTGCCTTAAGCATGAAAGGCAGCTGGGTGACTTGGGGCCAATCACTAGGTGATGGTGAATTCTAGTCCTGCCTTAAGCATGAAAGCCAACTGGATGACTTGGGGCCAATCACTAGGCAGTGGTGAATTCTAGTCCTGCCTTAGGCATGAAAGCCAGCTGGGTGACTTTGAGCCAATCACTAGGTGATGGTGACTTCTAGTCTTGCCTTAGACACAAAAGCCAGCTGGGTGACTTTGAGACAATCACTAGGCGATGGTGAGTTCTAGCCCTGCCTTAAGCATGAAAGCCAGCTGGGTGACTTTGGGCCAATCACTAGGCAGTGGTGAATTCTAGTCCTGCCTTAGGCATGAAAGCCAACTGGATGACTTGGGGCCAATCACTAGGCAGTGGTGAATTCTAGTCCTGCCTTAGGCATGAAAGCCAGCTGGGTGACTTTGAGCCAATCACTAGGCGATGGTGAGTTCTAGCCCTGCCTTAGGCATGAAAACCAACTGGGTGACTTTGGGCCAGTCCTGATCTCTCAGCGAAACCCACCTTTTACAAAGTTGCTGTTGTGGGGAAAATAGGAGGCGTAAGATGTGTTGAATATGTTCACCGCTTTGGATTTTATTTGCAAAAATAATACAGGATATAAACCATAAAACTTTATTCTCACTCCAGCCCAGCCCATTGTTTTAATCTATTCTGTTAACTAAGGAGAGGAGAAAAAAAAAATCGACTTTTTGGAAACAAGGGGAAAAATTCACTTATAGCAGACAGTCATGGGAAGAGTTTAGTGGTGGCATTCAGCCGGTTCGGGCGAATCTGTAGTGGCAACCCAGTGCTATGCCATCCTATTTAGCCACATTTTCTAAGCCATGCACATGCGTGGAAGCCGCGCGCATAAGCAAAATGCTTTCAGTGCACGGCAAACCAGTGGTAAAATTATGTGAAATATACCCCTGGAAGGATTGATTAATCTATGCTTTTCAGTGGGGATGGGGGCTTCACTGGGTGGCGTAATCCTCCCCCAGTGGCCCTCCTCCCTCTCCTCCCCCCTCCCCAAGTTTGTTCTTCCACGCTCCGCTCCTTCCAGGCATTTCTCTCTCTTTCTCTCTCTCTCTCTCTCTCTCTCTCCAAAGCTCGTCTAAAACTAACTGTCTTGTTTGGCCTTTGCTTCTTGCCAAGAAGCTGCAATTTAGGAGCAGGGAGCTAAATCTCAAATTTGTTGCTGCTTTTTTTTTTTCTTTTTTCCCTGAATCATTATTTTGCTTTGAGGCTTCAGTCATTTGTCAGCGATTATCTCCAATTTTGTTCTCAGTTTAAAAGCAAGAATGCCTTTGAGCCATTTTTTAAACAGGTTTAGTAGAGATCTTTCCTTTCTCTCTTTCTTTTTCTTTCTTGTTTCTCTCTCTCTTTCTTATTTCTTTTTCTTTCTTTCTTTCTTTCTCTCTCTCTTTCTCTTTCTTTCTCGTTTCTCTCTTATTTCTTTCTCTTTCTCTTTCTTTCTTGTTTCTCTCTCATTTTTCTCTTTCTTTCTCTTTCTTTCTCTCTTCCTTTCTTTCTCTCTCTTTCTTTTTCTTTTTCTTTCTTGTTTCTCTCTCTTATTTCTTTATTTCTTATTTCTTTCTTTCTCTCTTTTTCTTATTTCTTTCTCTTTCTCTCTTTTTTCTTTCTTTCTCTCTCTCTCCTCCCTCCCTCCATCCTTCCTTCCTTCCCACTTTACCTACCAACTGTGCATTCTCCACATGTGCTGGACTCCAGTTCCCATAATTCCCAGCATTATGTGGGGTATTAACTTGTGGAAAGTTCATTCAAATTCAAATTCACATTCACTTTTTCTTTTTTCTTTTCCTTCCTTCCTTCCTTCCTTCCTTCCTTCCTTCCTTCCTTCCTTCCTTCCTTTCTTTCTTTCTTTCTTTTATTTTATTTTCTGCCTGCCTGCCTGCCTGTCTTAATTTCTGTCTTTTCCTTTTTCCTTTCTCTCTTTCTCTTTCCTCCCTCCCTCCCTCCCTCCCTCTTTACCTACCAACTGTGCACTCTCTACATGTGCTGGACTTCAGTTCCCATAATTCCCAGCACTATGTGAGGGTATTCAGTGGGGGGAAAGTTCATTCACAGTCACGTTCACACATCATTCTTAACCCAGCTATGAACTTCAGCTATTTTTCTGGGCATAAATGATTCCTTAAGCTCGTCAAACACGCAGGCTTCACACGACCCTCAGACGGTCGAATATCATTTGGGGTTCATGTGTCCTGTGAACACATCCACCACCTCTTAAACTGACCTGCCTGAGGGTGACTGATAACTCCAGCCAAAATCAAGCATACTCTATATGAAAAGAGGAGAATATTCATAGAATTGTGCTGCTGGTAATTCCCCCCCCCCCCCATTGTTTTGGGAAATCTGTCGGTATCGCTTCTTGCACAACCAGGGGTCCATTCTCCCACATGCCTTGCTCAAACATGCAAGCACATGTGTGCACACACATACACAATTCTCTCTGGAACAACGCTAGCATTTGTAGGTTTCTTTATTGATTAAATATGGATGTCATCCATCTCACTCTCCAAAGTGACTCCAAGCAAGGTAAAGGTAAAGGTTCCCCTCGCACATACGTGCCAGTCGTTCCTGACTCTAGGGGGCGCTGCTCATCTCTGTTTCAAAGCCAAAGAGCCAGCGCTGTCCGAAGACATCTCCGTGGTCATGTGGCTGGCATGACTCAATGCCAAAGGCACACGGAACGCTGTTTCCTTCCCACCAAAGGTGGTCCCTATTTTTCTACTTGCATTTTTTACGTGTTTTTGAACTGCTAGGTTGGCAGAAGCTGGGACAAGTCACGGGAGCTCACCCCGTGACGCGGCACTAGGGACTCAAACCGCTGAACTGCTGACCTTTCGATCGACAGGCTCAGCGTCTTAGCCACTGAGCCACCGCCTCCCTTTACTGTAAGCATCTTACAGTATAGTTTAAAAGCATAAATATAAAACCATGAAGATGGACAATGATGAAATGAACTTAAATGAATTAAAAACCAAGAGCACAGATGGGTAATTACTGCCTGTTTTCCACCCCCCCTCCTTGGCCGCCCAACATTCGGGGGAGGTGGGGGGGAAATAAAAAGAGAATCCACAATGACCTCATGGGTGTCGTGATGATGTCATCGCCCGCAAGACCCCAGTTATGATGTTACTCTCCCCTTCTTCTGCCCACTTCCCTTTGCAGAAACCTCCAAGCCTCCTTGCTTGCACGCTGACAAGGAGGTAAATATTTCGGCAACGTCCCGCAGGGCCTCAAATATGTTTGCTTGTCAAAAGGAAACGGGATCTATTGCATGCAAGAAAGAGGATTTTTGCCTGAGGCGCCCCACCTTCCTTCTTGCTCGATTCCTCATTTGTTTCTGTTCAGCCTACATTGGGCGCCTCCACCCTTCACCCGAAACCTGCTTTTTCAAGACTCTCTTGGCTTGAGAAGTCTAGAATCTCCTCGGGGGTCCGATGCCGGGCACGGGGGCTGGATAGAAGGCAGCCAGCATGACCCAGATGCCAAGGGAACCGTCCTGACTGAGGTGGCTTCTCCGTGCAACCACAATGCGGTCTTTAATCCAGCGTGTTGGGTTTACGTCGTATCTGGGCTGTTGTAGGAGATGACAAGGCTGAGCCTGAAGGGGGGGTCAAACGCATCATAAGTCACGAGTCCCTGCTCCCATAAGAGATCTAACTCCAGCCCACTTTGAATGCCTCTCTTATCCCCGGCTCATTTCCCTTAACGGCCAGTTGGCCAGATGATTCTTCTTCTTCTTCTTCTTCTTCTTCTTCTTCTTCTTCTTCTTCTTCTCCTCTTCCTCCTCTTCCTCTTCCACTTCTCCTTCTCCTTCTCCTTCTCCTTCTCCTTCTCCTTCTCCTCCTCCTTCTTTTCCTCCTCCTCCTCCTCTCCCTTCTTCTTCTACTACTTCTACTTCTTCTCCTTCTTCCTCTTCCTCCTCCCCCTCCCCCTCCCCCTCCCCCCCTCCTCCTCCCTAGTGACTTTGGGCTGGCTTTTCACACTTAACAGTGAAAAAACAGTGAGCCCAGAATTTATGTGGCTAAGTGAAAACGTTTGTTAAGTGACGTTTGCCCCATATTACAACTTTTCTTGCCCTCGTTGTTCTGTGAATCGTTGCACTTGTTAGCTTAGTACCATGGTTGCTAAGTAAACCTGGCTTCCTTCTTGCAAGGAAGGATGAGTGGGGCGATCAAAGAACCTGGGTTAGATCTCCTACATATGCCAAATGTTTGGGTTTTTTTCCCCCCCCACTGTCCCGGTCAAGTTTACGTCTATGGGATTTCCTGGTGGTCTCCTTTCCAACCTTGTGAATCATATCAATTCCTGATTGGGTTTTTTTTTTTTATTTCTCCGCAGGTATGCGTTTCACAGTTCCTCCTGGCTGGTCGCTGGCAAAGCCGATCCTGCCACACCGGGGAGAGTGCACTATCACCCGGATTCTCCTGCGAGAGGAGCTCAGTGGATGAAGCAGATCGTGTCCTTTGATAAGTTGAAGCTGACGAACAATTTATTGGATGACAATGGGCATGTAAGTGGTTGCTGGGAAAGGGAGAACCAGGGACAGCTGGAGAGGGAGGTGAATATCCCCACTAGCAATTACCAACATCACCATTTATTTCATCAGTTTAGATGCACGCCTATCTCACAAGGGCGACTCTGGGTTTCTCACAATACATTAAAACAATAGCTGCACCTTTAAAATAACAATAACAATAACAACAACAACAACAACAATAATAATAATAATAATAATAATAACAACAACAATAATAAATAAGGAGCCTGGATAGCTCAACAGACAGAAACACTGTAATTTAACACCAGCTGTCTGCAATTAAAGTAAGATCGAATCTTGCCAGGCTCAAGGTTGACTCAGCCTTCCATCCTTTCTAAGGTAGGTGAAATGAGGACCCAGTTTGTGGGGGCAATAAGCTGACTTTGTATAAATATACAAAAGAATGAAGGCTATTGCTTAACGCACTGTAACCCGCCCTGAGTCTCCGGAGAAGGGCGGCATATAAATCAAATTAAAAAAAATAAATAATAATAATACAGTGTTTCTCCAAAAATAAGACCCTGTCTTATATTTTTTTGAACCCTGAAATAAGCGCTTGGCCTTATTGCCATGCGCTCAAAAGTCAGATTGGGTTTATTATCGGGGATGTCTTATTTTGGGGAAAACAGGGTAAATAACAACAACAACAATAATAATAATACTGTTTCCCCGAAAATAAGACCCTGTCTTATGTTTTTTTTGAACCCTGAAATAAGCGCTTGGCCTTATTGCCATGCGCTCAAAAGGCCGATTAGGCTTATCATCAGGGGAGGTCTTATTTTGGAGGAAACAGGGTAAACAACAACAACAACAATAACAACAACAACAATAATACTGTGTTTCCCCGAAAATAAGACCCTGTCTTATATTTTTTTGAACCCTGAAATAAGCGCTTGGCCTTATTGCCACGCACTCAAAAGTCAGATTGGGCTTCTTATCAGGGGATGTCTTATTTTGGAGGAAACAGGGTCAACAACAACAACAGCAATAATAATAACAACAATAATAATACCGTGTTTCTCCAAAAATAAGACCCTGTTTTATGTTTTTTTGAACCCTGAAATAAGCGCTTGGTTTTATTGCCATGCGCTCAAAAGGCCGATTAGGCTTATTATCAGGGGATGTTGCAGGAACTGAGCATGTCTAGTTTAATGAAAAGAAGGACTAGGGGAGACATGATAGCAGTATTTCAATATCTCAGGGGCTGCCCCAAAGAAGAGGGAGTCAAGCTATTCTCCAAAGCACCTGAGGGCAGGACAAGAAGCAATGGATGGAAACTCATCAAGGAGAAAAGCAATTTAGAACTAAGGAGAAATTTCCTGACAGTTAGAACAATTAATCAGTGGAACAACTTGCCTCCAGAAGCTGTGAATGCTCCAACAATGGAAATTTTTAAGAAGATGTTGGACAACCATTTGTCTGAAGTGGTGTAGGGTTTCCTATCTAAGCAGGGGGTTGGACTAGAAGATCTCCAAGTTCCCTTCCAACTCCAAGGATAGAAGGATCAGGTTATCCTTTCAAATTCTTTCTGAATTGGTCAAGGAACTATTGACCAGATCTATTGGGCTACCAACCGTAGTTCTATACAGATCTATTGGGTTACAACAATGTGTCAGCATCTTATTGGCCTTAACTGGCCTTGAAAATTCAGCAAGATTAAGACTTGGTTGGGAGACTCAAGGTTGTGGGCCAAACTGGGAAGATGAAAAGACATTTCTGACTTAAAGCATCTCCTTTCAAAACTCAAAGCATAGTTTTCCCAATGAAAAATAGCTCATTGTTTTAAAGCCTTGGGGATCATCTCTCCCCACATGTATCCTCAAAAGATACTCTTCACATCCTTCCTCTACAACAGAAGAAGATGATAGGTGAGGTGTCCACCATGTTAGCTGGGAACGATGGGACCTGTGGTGTCATGCAGCTGCAAAGTTCTCGAGTGGGGTTTTCCAACCTTGGTGACATTAAGATGCATGGAAGTCGGCTTCCAGAATTCTGTGAGTTGGTCATCAACTCACTTCAAGTCATCAAGGCTGAGAAACCCCACTCGAGCCGAGGTGGCGCAGTGGTTAGAGTGCAGTACTGCAGCTACTTCAGCTGACTGCTTGTTCAGCAGATCAGCAGATCAAATCTCACCGGCTCAAGGTTGACTCAGCCTTCCGTCCTTCCGAGGTGGGTAAAATGAGGACCCAGATTTTTGAGGGCAATATGCTATTTAGTGTACTGATCTTTGGTGTAAGCCGCCCAGAGTCTTCGGAGAGTGGGCGGCATAGAAATATAAATAATAATAATAAAACTGTGTGACACAACAACCCCCATCATCCCCAGCCAACATGGCAGACAATTCACCCAGGGGTAGGCTGCTGGGGGTTTGGGAGAACCTCTACCTAAGATTCTGTGCAGTTCGGAGAACCTCCAAATCCCACTCCTGGCTGGCCCCGCCCACCCTGCCCCTCTTTTCCCAGGAATCCCCACGTGGCCTGTTTTGAATGCAGAGCACAGAGCACAGCATGCACAGAGGCTCAGGGAGGGCAAAAAATGGGCCTACTGGACGTTCGGGAAGAAACAGGCCCATTTCTGGCCTCCAGAGGGCCTCCGGAGCCTGGGGAGGCTGTTTTCTCCCTCCCGGAGGTTCAAGAAAAGCCTCCGGAGCCCGGGGAGGACAAAAATGCCCCCTCTGCCATGGTGCAGGAAGCCGACTAGGGCAGCGATGGCGAACCTTTTTGCCATCGTGTGCCAAGAGCGGGGGAGGGAAAGGGGGGGTAGCGCACACAAGTGCCTACACCCATAATTCTATGCGCCTCACCCCCGCGCATGCACATGTGACCCCCTCGCTTCCCCCCGCTCCTGACACACGATGGCCCGGTGGACCCAGTAGGCCTGTTTTTCTCTCTCCCCCGACTCCAGAGCCTTTCTAGGAGCTTGGGGAGGGCGAAAACGGCCTTCCTCACTCTCCGGAGGCCCTCCGGAGGCCGGAAACGGCCCGTTTGCCAACTTCCGGAAGGCCTCCGGGCAGAGGGGAGGCTGTTTTTGTCCCCCCCAAGCTCCTAGAAAGGCTCTGGAGCCTGGGGAGAGAGAAAAACAGGCCTTCCCCACCACCTCCCGAGGCCCTCAGGAGGCAGGAAACAGCCTGTTTCCCAACTTCTGGTGGGCCCAGAAGGCCTGAAAATCAGCTGGCTGGCGCGCGTATATCCACCTGAGCTGAGCTTATGTGCCCACCGATATGTCTACGCATGCCGCAGGTTCGCCATCATGGGACTAGGGCATGCTCACCATGGCCGTGCCTACGCAGCAACTGGCCAGAGAACCCCTTGCTAAAATTGTTGAAGTCCGCCTCTGAACTCACCCTTCACCTTCTTGCCAAGTTGAGGGGAGCAAGAACTGCCATTGAAACGGCCTCTTCTAATCTGAATATTTTTATGGGGTGTTCTTCTCTCTCTCTCTCTCTCTCTCTCTCTCTCTCTCTCTCTCTCTCTCTTTCTCGTCGCTACCACCTTGGTGTGGCCGAACGGACCAGTTATACGATTTCCCTTGCTCGTTTTGCCATTCAGATCATTTTGAACTCCATGCACAGATACCAGCCCCGTTTCCACGTCGTCTACGTGGACCCGCGGAAAGACAGCGAGAAGTATGCGGAGGAGAACTTTAAGACCTTTGTCTTCGAGGAGACCCGGTTCACCGCCGTCACGGCCTATCAAAACCATCGGGTGAGTATCTGGAATTCATTAAGGAGACGCAGGGCTTTCCAAGACGTCATTTATCAACCAACCACCACCACCACCCCTGCCTGCCCCCCTCCTTCGCCTTAAAAAGCCACCTTCCCTTGTCCAGCACACATCTTCATCTAGTGACATGATGGATGAAGAGCCGGAAAAGAGAAGGTAGGTCGGAGATTGTTGGGTGCAGTCAATCAACCAAAGTTTGCTTGTTTTGGTGGGGGTGGTGGAGTGGGGTGGGGAAATTGGTGCAAAGCTCTTAAAGGCGACACACGTTCTTGTTTAAATCATCTCAGATGTGAGGACCTGGAGGGAAGAATTAAGGCCAGGGGTGGGTGGGATTCAGCTGGTTCGGACCGGTTCGGATGTTAATTTTAATCTGGTTTGCCAAACCAGTAGTTGCAAGGACTGGCTGACCAGGGCCCACTCTGCCCCTCCCCTCCCAGGAGTCTCCACGCAGCCCGTTTCGGATGCCAGGTAACTGCAGGGCCCACGCGGAGGGAATGGGGATTTTGCAATATCCTTCCCCTGGAGTGGGGAGGGAATGGAGATTTTGCAGTATCCTTCCCCTGCCACGCCCACCAAGCCATACCACGCCCACCAAGCCACACCCACAGAACCAGTAATGAAAAAAAAATTGGATTTCACCACTGGGTTGATCACGACAGGGTTCCGGAAGTTTCAGTTTGGTAACATCTGGAACCTTAGAGGTACCTCCTCACCATGATGTGGGACTTCTAATGTGCAGCTGGGGACAAAGAAACCAGATGTGCGCGTGAAGTATTATTCTTTTTTTTTATTATTATTGAAAAGTTTTTAAAAATTTTACACATATTTTCCCCTCTCTCCTCCCCCCTCCTGCCCCAACCCTCCCCCGCCCCGGACTTTCCAGAGCCAGTACAGGGTATAGCATTTAACAAACATAAAAAAAAACATACACTAACTATCTATAGATTTATCTCCCTCTTGCACTTTAGCTCCCCTTGTTCATATCTAAATATAACTATTTAAACCAATTATTGCTTGAAAGTAATCAATCCACCTTCGTTCTTGTCCGTTCTTCAATAATAAGCAAGTCTTCTTTCTTCCAGTATTACACAATCAGAGCCCAGTTACAATTAACCATCACATCTCCAACCCTTACCAAAATATTTTAACCAATCTCAAATAAAATATATTATAAAAAATTTTTACTTTTTACCCCATAAACTTATATTGATTCTTCCTGGAAACATTCCTTACTTAATAGCTTTGCATAAACTTATTCATCTTATTCTCTGCGTATAATCAAATACCATCTTCACTATTTAATATCTATAAAAAATATTGTAAAAACGAAGTATTATTCTTATCAGCTTCCCATGCATACAATTACGGTGTCCCAATGGAGCAAAAAAAAAAATAAAATGTGTGAAGTTGCAGCTGGGGATAAAAACACCAGTTCACTGCATCTGTTTAATACATCTGGGAGATCTCTGTGCCCAGAATGTGCCCAGGGAGCCTGAAAGTCCTTTTATCGCCAGGCTCCAAGGATTATGGATTGCTTGTGTCTAATGTGACACCCCACCTCCCTTATAATATCAATGCCAGAAGACTAGATGGGAAATGCGTCTCTACAGCGAAGAACCCATGAAATTAGCAAAGCCCAACTCCGAGGCGACTTTGAATGCTTCAAATCAATCAGAAATAGGAAAAAAAAGAAAAAGAAAAAAGGCTTATTTATGTAAAAAAGAAAAATATTTGCAGGCTTTGGAGATGTTCCCCGTCTCTGCAGCCAAAAATTGAAGCCAAGTAGGGTACAGACAGTTCTCAAGTTACAACAGTTCATTTAGTGATGTTTCGGCAGCGAAAAAAAGTGATTTAGGACTATTCTGCATGTTTATAACCGTTAGCGCGCCTCCCCCGTGGTCACGTGATAAAAATTCAGACGCTTGGCAACTGGCTCGTATTTATGACGGTTGCAATGTTCTGAGCTTTTGCGAACTTCTGACAACGGGGAAGCCCAGTCCGGTTCAATCTCAGTTAGCCTGGTGTGAAGAAGGCCAGTTTCTCAACCAGTGCTCCTCAACCTTGGTGACGTTAAGGTGTATGGACTTCATATCCCAGAATTCCCCAGCGAGGGAATTTTTCCCAGCCAGGAATGAGGAATTTTTCCCAGCCAGCTCCCAAGAGTTTCCTACTGATGCTGGCGGACAGGGAATTCTGGGAGTTGAAGTTCGCACATTTGTAAAGCAGGCTGACCGGGGAATCCTGGAAGTCCACGCATCTTAAAAGATGCTGGCTGGGGAATTCTGGGAGCTGAAGTCGATATATCTTAAAGCATGCTGGATTAAGAATTCTGGGAGCTGAAATCCATATATCTTAAAGCATGCTGGCTGGGGAATTCTGGGAGTTGAAGTCCATATATTTTAAAGCAATCTGGCTGGGGAATTCTGGGAGTTGAAGTCCATATATCTTACATCATGCTGGGCTATGAATTCTGGGAGTTGAAGTCCATATATCTTACATCATGCTGGGTTATGAATTCTGGGAGTTGAAGTTGATATATCTTAAAACAATCTGGCTGGGGAATTCTGGGAGTTGAATTTGATATATCTTACATCATGCTGAATTAAGAATTCTGGGAGTTGAAGTCCATATGTCTTAAAGCATGCTGGCTGGGTAATTCTGGGAGCTGAAGTCCATATATTTTAAAACTTGCTGGATTAAGAATTCTGGGAGTTGAAGTCCATATATTTTAAAGCGTGCTGGCTGGGGAATTCTGGGAGCTGAAGTCCATATATCTTAAAGCAACCTGGCTGGGGAACTCTGGGAGTTGAAGTCCACCCTTCTGAGGAATTTTGAGAGTTGATGTCATCAAGGTTGACAAACCATGTTCACCACTCTGAAAATCCCTTCTGGGAGGCTTAATCCAAGAGACTTGCTCTTTTCCGCACAGCTATTCTCCAGCCAAATAATGTACATTTTTTGCATCTCCAGCAAGTCCTGCAGACTGTCTGAAGAGTTATCTGCCTTCTCTCTGCTTTTCCTTAAGCATTTCATCTGCTAAATCCGTTGATGGCTTTCTGAAGGAATTTGATCACCCTGGGAGGCCTGATTTCTAGAGAAGTAAAGATCTCTACTTTCCCTGCTGCCCTCCCACTCCTCAAAATTGGCAAAACAGCACGATGTAGGTTAAACTGATCTTCCCGTATTATCAGTGGAACCATAGGCAGCTCCCCTCCCTTCTCCTCCCTCACCAACGCAATTCACACACCCCCAAAGGGGGAAAAAATTGCGTTAGAATAATAGTGAAAAGTCCACTTTCATTTCTGAATGATGCACCAGAATATTTTGCTTTGGTGGTGCGTGCGTGGAATAGAGAGCTATTTAATTGTATTTTATTTTAATATTTTAGCTTATATCTTATATATCTTATATTTTATCTTTATTTTACTATTTTATTTGTATCCTGCCTTTATTAGTTTTACAAATACAGTGTTTAAATTGTATGGTATTTTCTTTTAATATTTTCTTTTATATCTTATATCTTATATCTCACATCTCATGTCTTATGTCTTATATCTTATCTTTATTTTACTATTTTATTTGTATCCTGCCTTTATTAATTTTACAAATACAGTGTTTAATTGTATGGTATTTTTTTTTTTATTTTTTAAAATATTTTATCTTATATCTTATGTCTTATATCTTATCTTTATTTCATTATTTTATTTGTAGCCTGCCTTTATTAGTTTTACAAATATGGTGTTTAATTGTATGGTATTTTATTTTAATATTTTATTTTAATATTTTATCTTATCTTATATCTTATATCTCATCTCATATCTTATCTTTATTTTACTATTTTATTTGTATCCTGCCTTTATTAGTTTTACGAATACGGGGTTTAATTGTATGGTAATTATTTTAATATTTTATTTTAATATTTTATCTTATCTTATATCTTATATATCTTATATATCCTATCTTTATTTTACTATTTTATTTGTATCCTGCCTTTATTAGTTTTACAAATAACTCATTGGTGGTGAGCATATCCAGGTGAGGTGAGTTGGGCTGAGAGAGAGGGATTGGCAAGTCACCCAATCAGCTTTCATGCCTAAGGCGGGACTAGAACTCTCAGCTGTCTGGCTATTGGCCCAAAGTCACTCAGGTGGGTTTCAGGCTTAAGTCTTAAGGACTAGAACTCACCATCTCCTGGTGATTGGCTCAAAGTCACTCAGTCAGACTTTCATTAAGATAGGACTAGAACTCACTGACTCCTAGTTTCTAGGCTGGTGCTGTAACCACTAGACCAAATTGTCTCTCAGATATGCAAAGGTTTTCTTAGGTCAGGAATCATGATATTTCGTATTCATTCAACTACAATGTGGGTGAAAAGATATCAATTCAAATTGGTCAGCTGGCATCTTGAATTTCCCAAATGTCTATGGAATTAAAGATTCTTTCGAATTTTTTCCTCTTACAAGGAACATACTATGCCCCCCACACCCAAATTAGTCTTGCATTTCAAAATCCTCCCAGGTGGTGGCAGCACTGAGCTAACCTTCAGTGGGTTTTTCAAAAAGTAGGGATGGACTAGGATGGGAGACCACCAGAAAATCCCAGAGCTGTCCATTAGGGTAGAAATGCAAAAAAAAAAAATCCACCAAGAACATTACGCAGAAGAAATAGAAAAGAAATCTTGGGGGATGCGCTAGATTTGAAAGATGCCTGAGGGGTTCAGAAGTGCCCCATGGGGCAGGGGTGGAGAGGGGGGAGATTGCCACTGATCTCCTGCTTCCTCCTGATGGACCACAAATCTCTTGCTTCGGTGAGCGCACACCAGTGATGGGTTTCAAATTTTTTTTACTAGCGGTTCTGTGGGTGTGGCTTGTTGGGCGTGGCTTGTTGGGCATGGCAGGGGAAGGATACTGTAAAATCTCCATTCCCACCCCACTCCAGAGGAAGGATACTGTAAAATCTCCATTCCCTCCCCACTCCAGGGGAAGGTTACTGCAAAATCCCCATTTCCTCCCAATCAGCTGGTAATTGGGAGGCAGAGAATAGATGGGGGCAGGGCCAGTCAGAATTTTTACTACTGGTTCTCCGAACTATACAAAATTTCCACTACCGGTTCTTCAGAATTGGTCAGAACCTGCTGAAACCCACCTCTGGAGCACACGCTCCTTGAATCTGATCTGTAGATGTACACATCAAATGTACCATTTCCAAGTGAAGGAAGGTGTGCCTTTCCTTGCTAAATATAAGAAAAACGGTAACCATGTTCTTTGAGAAGGAGGAGGAAGAGAAGGAGTTGTTTTCAGAATACTGGAGAAAGAGGAGGAGGAAGAGGGAGAGGAGGAAGAGGGAGAGGAGGAGAAGGAGGAGAAGAAGATTTCAGAATAATGGAGAAAGAGGAGGAGAGGAGAAGGAGGAGAGGAGAAGGAGAAGATTTCAAAATAGTGCAGAAAGAGGAGAGGAGGAGGAGGAGAAGATTTCAGAATAATGGAGAAAAAGGAGGAGGAGAAGGAGGAGAGGAGGAGAAAAGGAGGAGATTTCAGAATAATGGAGAAAGAGGAGAGGCGGAGGAGGAGGAGATTTCAGAATAATGGAGAAAGAAGAGGAGAGGAGAAGGAGGAGAAGGAGGAGAGGAGGAAAAGGAGGAGAAGGAGAAGATTTCAGAATAATGGAGAAAGGAGAGGCGAAGAAGAAGGAGGAGGAGGAAAAGGAGGAGAAGGAGAAGATTTCAGAATAATTGAAGAAGAGGAGGAAGAGGAGAGGAGGAGAAGGAGGAGGAGGAGGAAGAGGAGAGCAAGAAGATGTTTTCAGAATAATAGAGAAAGAAGAGGAGAAGGAAATTTCTTTTCATAAAGGAGAAGATTGAATTGCGACAACGAAAGAGGTGGAAGAGGAGAAGACTGTTTTTTCCATAATAGGTGAAGGAGGAGGAGCAGGAGGAGGAGAGAAGGAGCAGTGATGGAGCAGAAAGAAAACAGGGAACCATGGGATCAGGGCTGGAGGGAAGCTGCGCCTTTAAGAAGCCTTTTCCAGAATGCCATCTCTCTGATCGCTTCGAACAGCTGCTTATTTTTCTCTTCTGCTTTCTATCACTTTGACCTCGAAGGGCTGAACTGTCACCGAGGGGCTTAAAAGTTTGTTTTTCAACCCATTCCGGAAACTCACAATCATTATACTTTGTCCCTGGATTTGTTTAAATATAAAGGAGTTATAAAGGAGGAAGGGGGGCGGGGAATGTCCCTTCCCCGCTTCCCCGCTTCACTCTTCCCCCACCTCCCTGTGAATGAAATAAATACTCCGCAGTGATGGTCTGGGGAATAGGACAGGGATAATTTTTGCAGATAATACGTGCTTTTCAAAACGGATCTGAAGGTTAAAAGATGCCTCTGTCCTGGTGCTGAGAATTAGACTTAAAAGAGCAAATAGCAGTAGCCCTTAGACTTATATACCGCTTCGCAATGCTTTACAGCCCTCTCTAAGCGGTTTACAGAATCAGCCTGTTGCCCCCAACAATCTGGGTCCTCATTTCACCCACCTTGGAAGGATGGAAGGCTGAGTCGACCTTGAGCCGGTCAGAATCGAACTCCTGTCAGTGGACAAAGTTAGTTTGCAATACTGCATTCTAACCACTGTGCACCATGGATGTGTGGTGGATGGGTGGGAGGAAGGAAGGAAGGAAGGAAGGAAGGAAGGAAGGAAGGAAGGAAGGAAGGAAGGAAGGAAGGAAGGAAGGAAAGAAGGACAATAGCAATAGGACTTAGATTTATATACCGCTTCACAGTGCCTTACAGCCCTCTCTAAGCGGTTTACAGAATCAGCCTGTTGCCCCCAACAATTTGGGTCCTCATTTCACCCACCTTGGAAGGATGGAAGGCTGAGTCAACCTTGAGCCAGTCAGGATTGAACTCCTGTCAGTGGACAAAGTTAGTTTGCAGTACTGCATTCTAACCACTGTGCACCATGGAAGGAAGGAAGGAAGGAAGGAAGGAAGGAAGGAAGGAAGGAAGGAAGGAAGGAAGGAAGGAAGGAAGGAAGGAAGGAAGGAAGGAAGGACAATAGCAATAGCCCTTAGACTTATATACCGCTTCACTGTGCTTTCCAGCCCTCTCTAAGCGGTTTACAGAATCAGCCTCTTGCCCCCAACAATCTGGGTCCTCATTTTACCAACCTTGGAAGGCTGAATCAATTGCAATAGCACTTAATCTTATATGCCGCTTCACAGTGCTTTATAGCCCCTTTCTAAGCAGTTTACAGAGTTTGCAGGTTTACAAGCGACACAATTTAAAGTTGAGTTGACAATCCATTCAGGTGGGCATTCAAAAGCAGCAAAAAATTGAACGTGGCAGTTTTTAAAAGAGCTGCATGTAAATAGAGGTAGCCTCCGCCTTACAGTCATTTGTTTCGTGACCGTTCGAAGTTACGACGACACTGAAAAAAAGTGACTTAGGACCATTTTCCCACCCTTACGACCGTTGCAGCCTCCCTGGGATCCAAATTCAGACGCTTGTTTATGACCGTTGCGATGCCCCGGGGTCATGGAATCTCCTTTTGCGACCTTCTGACAAACAAAGTCAAGGGGAGAAAGCCAGATTCACTTAAAAACTGTGTTACTAACTTCACAACCGCGGGGATGCACTTAACAACGGCAGCAAGGAAGTCGCAAAATGACTCTAAAGCCATTTCCCTAATTCTCCCCTTTCAGATAACCCAGCTCAAGATTGCCAGCAATCCATTTGCAAAAGGATTCCGGGATTGCGATCCTGAAGATTGGTAAGCCTGTTTAATTTGTTCTTCTCTTCTTCCAATGTTGAATAGAGTACAGAAGGGCAGAGTTGGAAAGGATCTTGGAGGTCTCGTAGTCCAACCCTCTGGAGACCCTATACCAGGGATGGCTAACCTTTTTGCCATCGCGTGCCAAAAGCGGGGGTCACACCGGGGGGGTCGCGCATGTGCCCACACCCATAATTCTGTGTGCCCCGTCCCCTGCACATGCAACCCCCCTGCGCTCCCCTCACTTTTGACACACGATGGCATGGTGGGCCCAGTAGGCCCGTTTTTTGCTCTCCCCAGGCTCCAGAGCCTCTCTAGGATCCTGGGGAGGGTGAAAACGGCCTTCCCCACCCTCTCCTGGAAGTCCTCCAGAGACCGGAAATGGCCTGTTTCCCAACTTCCAGTGGGAATGCAAAAAACGGGCCTTCCGGTCCCATTGGAAGTTCGCAAACGGGCCATTTCCAGCCTCCGGAGGGCCCTTGGGGGGTGGGGAAGGCCGTTTTCGCCCTCCCCAGGCTCCTAGAGAGGCTCTGGAGCCTGCGGAGAGGAAAAAATAGGCTTTCTGGTACCACCAGAAGTTGGCAAATGGGTCGTTTCTGGCCTTTGGAGAGCCTCTGGTTGGGGGGGAGGCCGTTTTTGCCCTTTCCAGGCTCCTAGAGAGGCTCTGGAGCCTGGGGAGAGCAAAAAAAGGGCCTTCCCCACCCCACCCCAGGGCCTCCGGAGGCAGGAAACAGCCTGTTTCCCTACTTCTGGGTGGCCCAGAAGGCCCGAAAATCAACTGGCTGGCGGGCACTTGCGCGCCGCAGCTGAGCTCGCATGCCCACCAATATGGCTCCGTGTGCCACCTGTGGCACGTGTGCCATAGTTTCGCCATCACGGCCCTATACAATTCCAGAGAAGTGGCTGCCCAATTTCTTCTTAAAAACCTCCAGTGATGGAGCACCCACAACTTTTAAAGGCAACTTCTGTTCCACTGATCATTGTTCTCCAATTAATTAAGTAATAAGTAATAAATTAATTAATTGATCTACTCTGGGCTGGTAGGGTTGCCAGGTCTGCTTCCAAAAAATAGCGGACAAGCAGGGGGGGGGGGGTATGGGAATAAAAAAAATTTAAAAAAAAATTACAATTAAATTATATATTTTCTTACAAACATTTTAACATGTATTAAAATAATCACTTCAAAACTTTACTTAAAATTCAAAACATCAAATATATTATAATAATATGTAAAATATTAAATTATATTTTACTTTGCTGTCGTGTGTATTTTTTATTTGACTGCGCAGCTTTGATCAATTCTTTGTGTTTAAGGAATAATTCTTTAATTTCAGTACAACGTTGAGAAACATTAAAAAATATACAATCATAAAGCTTTTGAATTAAAAAAATGTCCACTATTTTGTGAAAAAAAAATAGTGAACATAATGTGAAAAAAGCGGACTGCCCGCTCAAATAGTGGACACCTGGCAACCTTATGGGCTGGACTCAGATATGGAACTTAATCTGCTCCTACAAAAATACAATTCATACAAAAGTAGAGCATCCCTGTACAAGAAGCTTGAAGTGAGAGGTGAGTCAATCACAGAGTTAGAACAGTGTTCTGATTTTTTTTCTCCCCCTTCTCCCATAACAGGCCTAGGAATCACCGACCAGGAGCCCTACCTCTTATGAGTGCCTTCGCTCGGTCGAGAAATCCCGTGTCTTCCCCAGTGCACCAAAATGGAACTGACAAAGGTGAGTCCGTAGTTTCCCACCTGCGCTCTGAGCCTGTGAGAGCCCCAGCTGTACAGGAAAACAGTAGCCAAAAAGGGGAGCTTTGTCATTTCCTTATGGAGAATTCCCTGTTCATCACTCCCAATCATCTAATGCTCTATCTCTCACCGTTCCAGAACAATCTGTCTGTCTGTCTGTCTGTCTGTCTGTCTGTCTCTATCTATCTATCTATCTATCTATCTATCTATCTATCTATCCATCTATCTATCTATCTATCTTGCTATCTATCTATCTATCTATCATCTATCATCTATCTATCTATCATCTATCTTGCCATCATCTATATCTATCTATCATCTATCTATCTATCTACCTATCTATATCTATCATCTATCTGTCTGTCTGTCTGTCTGTCTGTCTGCCTGTCTCTATTATCTATCTATCTATCTATCTATCTATCTTGCTATCTATCTATCTATCTATCTATCTACCTACCTACCTACTACCTACCTACCTACCTACCTACCTATCTATCTTGCCATCATCTATATCTATCTATCTATCCATCCATCTGTCTGCCTGTCTGTCTGCCTGTCTCTATTATCTATCTATCTATCTATCTATCTATCTATCTATCTATCTATCTATCTATCTATCTATCATCTATCCATTTATTTAAAACATGTATATACCTGCCCATCCAACTCTGGGCAGCTCCCAATCAAAAATTAAAAGCCACATATAATCCTTTTAAAACTATGAAACTCAACCCATTCCAACATTCACATGGATTTCAGGCAACACTACCTGAAATGCAAAGCAGCATCATGGTGCCGTCAGCACCACGAAACCCACCACGTCCATTGCACGGACGGGGCCGTAAGACTGACCCCCACGTCAAGAGTCCCCGTCAGCCCTCCCATGAAGGATTTCGCCCTCCGAAAGCACACCCTTTGAGTCTTAAGGGAGTGACGCATAGGAACCCGACATTAAATGCGGTGCACCGCCAGAATCTGCTAACTAGTTAAGACACAGAGCTTGGCAATTGGCCAGTCTGCTTTAGACGGATTACAAGAAAAACATTTTGCTCACAAAGAGCGGAACGTCTAACCAGGATTTAGAGATGGAAGTTCGCTCTTCTTTATTGGGCTCTTAGTGGCTGATCTTCTTTTATTGTGCTTTCCCTGGCTGATCTGGTTATTCTTTTTTTGGGGGGACAGGGGGATTTTGCTCTTAATGCATCCCCCTTGCAAACCCGTCAAAAGGACTTAATTCCCGAGACAGCCAGCTTTGTAAATAGGAGGTTTTTGACTTGGGGGTGGGGGAGCAACATTGATTCAACTAGCTGTATCTCCATCTAGCACTCTGAGTCTACCTGGGGAAAAAAAACAACAACAGGTCCCTACAAGCAAACATCGTTCTCCCTGGTGCAAAGAATCCCATTTTGGAGGAATAAGAGAGTGAAATTAAACAGGGGCTGTTCGGTTCATCCAAAGACACATTCTGGATCCTGTTTATTGTTGGGAAAAGGCCGAATTGTCAGTAGCGTCATTCAGGAAATATAGTTTAGTTTACTTTATTTATTTATTATTTATTTATTTTATTTATTAATTCAATTTGTATGCCGCCCCTCTCCGAAGACTCAGGGTGGCTCACAATGCATTTAAAATCATTATAAAAAACATTTTAAAATTAAAAACATTAAAAACATTAAAACTCATTCACACCATTCATGGACGGATCTCGCCAGATCACAAGAGCGAGATCAACGGCCCCAGACCTGACGGAAAAGCCAGGTCTTCACCGTTTTTCGGAAGGCCAATAGGGTGGGGATGGTCCGGACCTCAGGAGGAAACTGGTTCCAGAGAGCTGGGGCAGCCACAGAGAAGGCCCTCCCCTGCAGGCTCGCCAGCCGGCATTGTTTAGCTGACGGGACCCAGAGGAGACCGACTCTGTGGGATCTTACCGGTCGTTGGGAGTTACGCGGTAGAAGGCGGTCTCGAAGATACCCCGGCCCTGAGCCATGTAAGGCTTTAAAGGTAATAACCAACATCTTGAATTGTGACTGGAGACCAATCAGGAGCCAGTGCAGCTCACGGAGAATTGATGTAATGTGGGTGTACCTAGGTGCACCCATGACAGCTCGCGCGGCTGCATTCTGGACCAACTGTAGTCTCCAAACACTTTTCAAGGGTAGCCCCATATAGAGCGCGTTGCAATAATCTAACCATGAGGTGACAAGGGCATGAGTGACCATGAGGAGAGCCTCCCAATCCAAGTCATTGCACCTCGTACGACGAAATTAAATGCCATCTTCAGTGTACATTATACATTAAAACACACACACATACCCCTCACATTCTATACAATTGAACTGAAAACCCCTGACATTGCATTAATGTTGCACTAGACAGTAGAATTCAATATAGTTACTGCTCTGGGGTAGAAGCAGGGGTGAAATGCTCCCGGTTCGGACCGGATCGCCCGATCCGGTAGCGATGATGGCGGGTGGTTCGGAGAACCGGTAGCAAAAATCCCTGCGCCCCGCCCCCATGCCCAGCTGAGCCGCGCGATCATCAGAGGCTTTTATTTTTACTTTTAAAAGCATTTTTTCTTGGCCGAAAAAATGCTTTTAAAAGTAAAAAAAAATAAAAAATGGAGATTTTACAGTAGCCTTCCCCTGCCATGCCCACCAAGCCACACCCACCATGCCATGCCACACCCACCAAGCCACGCCCACAGAACCGGTAGTAAAAATTTTGAAACCCACCACTGCTTTTCGTGCCAAAGTTGTTGAGTGAATCCCTGCAGTTGTTAAGTTAATAAATACATCGATTGACAAAACGGGGATCACATCACCCTGGGACACTGCAACCGTCATAAATACAAGCCAGTTGCCGAGTTGTCTGAGTTTTGATCTTAATTTTGACCGCAGGGATGCTACAACGGTCTTAAGTGCGAAAAACGGTCCTAAGCCACTTTTTCCAGTGCTGTTGTAACTTCAAACAGTCACTAAGTGAACTGCTTATTCACTTAGTGACCATTTGAAGTTACAGCGGCACTGGAAAAGGACACTGAGACAGTGTCCCAGGATGATGTGATCCTCATTTTGTGGATCAAGGCCTACCTGTTGTAGAGACGTGGCTTGCAGTTTCAAGGAAGATCTCCAATCCTGTGGCTCATCGGGGTTCATGAGATTCCTAATGGATCAGCCAGTGAGCTGATGCCTCCACCAAAACTGGAATTGAGTAGCCGGCTTCAAACCCAGCCAGATCTATTTCATTAATCCTAAAAGGAAAATTAACTTGATATTCCAATGTATATACAAATACAGTTGGAATTTCAATCCGAAATTTAATAGAATTAAATGTTTGGGGCTTTGATACAACCCGCTGAAGGATTATATATATATGGATGTGTGTGTGTGTGTATGTGTATGTGTATGTATATGTATATGTATATGTATATGTATATACACACACACACATATATATACACACGCACACATACACATTTGCCTCCCATGTAAACTTACAACCAATGCACATTAAACATGACTCATTTTCCCTTGTGTATCTTTTTATTGTTAATTTACCCTGTAAACTCTCTGTTTCTACGAGAGCTATATAACATAAGCAGTTTTCTTGAACAAAGAAACCAAAGAATAGATAGGAGGAGAAGTTGCCAAAAAAGAAAAAAGGAAGGAAGGAAGGAAGGAAGGAAGGAAGGAAGGAAGGAAGGAAGGAAGGAAAAAAAAAGAAGAGGAGAAAGAAGGAAGGAAAGAAAGAAGAGTAGAAGGAAGGAAGGAAGGAAGGAAGGAAGGAAGGAAGGAAGGAAGGAAAGAAAAAGAAGAGGAGAAAGAAGGAAGGAAAGAAAGAAGAGTAGGAAGGAAGGAAGGAAGGAAGGAAGGAAGGAAGGAAGGAAGGAAGGAAGGAAGGAAGGAAGGAAGGAAGGAAGGAAGGAAAGAAAGAAAGAAAGAAGAGGAGAAGGAAGGAAAGGAAGGAAGGAAGGAAAGAAGAGAAGGAAAGGAAGGAAGGAAAGAAAGAAAAAGAAGAAGGAAGGAAGGAAAGAAGAGAAGGAAAGGAAGGAAGGAAAGAAAGAGGAGAAGGAAGGAAAGAAGAAAAGAAAGGAAGGAAGGAAGGAAAGAAGAGAAGGAAGGAAGGAAGGAAGGAAGAAGAAAGAAAGAAAGAAAGAAAGAAAGAACCCACAATACCCAGTAATTGCCTTTAACCTCCTCCAAAACCTGCCCCAGATAGCTATTTAAGCTTTCTCGCTGATTCCATTTCCATTACGCAGAATAAACAGTCGGTCAGGAGAAGAAAAAAGAAACAAGAGAGAGGCCCTTTTTCTCAAAGAGCACTCCGAGCCTATTAAAATAAAGAAAAGGGGGGGGGGGGGAAGCCTGTATTTGTTTAGCGTTATACAATTGCAAAAATTTCAGGCGTGTGCAAACGTGTCACTCAACCCTGCTCGATTTATCAAAGTCACAATGCCTTGTCTCGGGAGCCGGGATCTTTTGCTGAACACAATGTTAAACACTTCATCTTTTTTTTTTAAAAAAAAAAAAAGGAAGAAAGAAAGAGAAGGAAACCTAAACTTTGGGATATTTCTGCATTCTTCCCCTCGACGTCAGACGGTCGGTCTGAAAAGCAATCAAAGTGCACATACCTATATAGGCCCTCACACACACGGGAAGTCTCCTTTTGTTTCCTTCTTAGGGAGAAAACATTTGCGATGGCTGTCCGTCGAACAGCCTCGTCGGCAGTGGTGGGATTCAAGTAATTTAACAACCGGTTCTCTGCCCTAATGACTTCTTCCAACAACCAGCTTACCAAACTGCTCAGAAAGTTAACAACCGGTTCTCCCGAAGTGGTGCGAACTGGCTGAATCCCACCACTGCTTGTCGGGGAGGTGGGGGTGAAAACGTATTTCTGAATCTCCAGGTGACTTCAGAGCAGGAGACATAAAACAAACAAACAAAAAATAGAACAACAGAGTTGGAAGGGACCTTGGAGGTCTTCTAGTCCAACCCCCTGCTCAGGCAGGAAACCCTACAACACTTCAGACCAATGGTTATCCAACATCTTCTTCCAAACTTCCAGTGTTGGAGCATTCACAACTTCTGGAGGCAAGTCATTCCGATGATTAATTGTTCTCACTGTTAGGAAATTTCTCCTTCGTTCCAGGTTGCTTCTCTCCTTGATTAGTTTCCACCCGTTGCTTCTTGTCCTGCCCTCAGGTGCTTTGGAGAAGAGCTTGACTCCCTTTTCTTTGTGGCAGCCCCAGTGGTGAAATCCAATTTTTTTTACTACCGGTTCTGTGGGCGTGGCTTGGGTTTGGTGTGGCTTGGTGGGCGTGGCTTGGTGGGCGTTACAGGGGAAGGATACTGCAAAATCTCCATTCCACCCCACTCTGGGACCAGCCAGAGGAGGTATTTGCCGGTTCCCCGAGCTACTCAAAATTTCCGCTACCGATTCTCCAGAACCTGTTAGAACCTGCTAGATTTCACCTCTGGGTTAAAATCTGGGCTGTTCCCAGGCCATTCTAGCAGTGAAATGATTGAATTGAAACTCCAAAAAAAAAAAAGTGGTGTTATTAGCCATCAAACCTCAAAAATACACTTGTCCCAAAAGGTTTCCATCATTTTGGCCACTACTGTAGGGTCAGATGGTCCCTTGAAGTTTGTCCTTGTGGTGGTAGAAAGCTTATTTTTCCTCCTCCTGACTTTCTAGGGTAAGGATAACCTAGAAGTTTTTTAAGACTCCCAGAACCACTCACAAAATGAAGACTATGACAGAAGGGGACGAAAAGTAGATGATTCAGTGTCGGTCAATGTATTTATTTATTTATTTATTTATTTATTTATTTATTTATTTATTTATTTTATTTATTTATTTATTTATTTATTTATTTTATTATTTAAATTTCTATACTGCCCTTCTCCAAAAAGGACTCAGGGCGGTGCACAGCCAAAGTAAAAACAGAGCATACAAAATTTAAAAAACAGTATTAAAATAATTAAATATTTTGGCCGTAAATTAAAACAACCCAATTTAAAATCAATTTAAAATTAAACTCAAGCCAGCCCAGCCCAATGTAGAATCTAGACGATTAGCCTTCTACATTCTACACTGAATGTGTAGAATTGATGTTGATACTCAATTCTACACTGACTGTAGACTCCAGAATGTAGAAGGTTGGCCCTAACGTTGTGTGGTTGGATCCTGTTTCTGCAGTGTAGACAGAGATGCTGGACCTAATGGATGGAAACATCTGGGCACTGCACTTGTCCTTGCATAAGGACCCTGATCCCTACAACTTTCTGTTGTAAAGTATGTTTCATGCTTTCACTCTGCCGCGTCACGAGTGCAGGAATGGGATCAGAATGAAACTGATCTATGGCATGATGTAATGGAATATGTGGGTGACCTTGGGGGACGAGGGGAAAAGGTGCTGCCTAGGACACAATCGAATAGGGACGCAGTGGCTCAGTGTCTTAGCTCAGTGTCTAAGACGCTGAGCTTGTTGATCGAAAGTTCAGCAGATCAGCGGTTCGAATCCCTAGCACCATGTAACGGGGTGAGCTCCCGTTGCTTGTCCCAGCTTCTGCCAACCTAGCAGTTCGAAAGCACGTAAAAAATGCAAGTAGAAAAATAGGGACCACCTTTGGTGGGAAGGGAACAGCGTTCCGTGCGCCTTTGGCGTTGAGTCATGACCATGGAGAGGTCTTCGGACAGCGCTGGCTCTTCGGCTTTGAAACGGAGATGAGCAGCGCCCCCTAGAGTCGAGAATGACTAGCACAATATGTGCGAGGAGAACCTTTACCATTACTTTAGGACACAATCAGACAAGAGCGACAGGGGTCCCGAGTGGATTAACAACCAGAGGAAGAAATTGAGGAAGGGCCCACCTTAATTGCTCAGGCAATTTGTACCTTCGGGCCTACGAGATGCCCGTTAATGTAACTTTACAATGAAAAAAAATAGAAGTTTAGTTCATCGAGACAGGTTTCCTGTCTGGTTTACCCGGGGAAGGCTGGATACACGCCAAGAAATTCCTAAGCCTAGGTGAAGGGGAACTTGTAGCTATCTAGAGAGAATGGTATGTGAGAATGACCTTGAGGGAGGAGGAAGAGCTGCAGACTGAACAAACAGCATGGTCAAGATTTCCCAGCCCACAGAAGGAGAAAGGGTGTGGGAAAAAAATTTCAGAAGGGACCCTCCCTAGTTTTCCAGAGAGTAGAAGAGAAAGGAGAGGGGAAAATACTTTCAATCTTGCAAGAGTCTGTTATATTGAAGTAATATCCGACAAATAGAATAGGATATAGAACAGAATAGCCTGCTTCAGATCATCCCCTGGATTTACACAACATGCGGAATGAATTTGGATTATGGTTTAACGCAGTGCACAAACATATCCTAAGAATCATCCTTGCTGGATCCGGCCAAAGATGGCCACTTAGAGTAAAAAAAAGATGTGGAGACTCTAGAAAGAGTGCAGAGAAGAGCAACAAAGAGGATTAGGGGACTGGAGGCTAAAACATATGAAGAATAGTTGCAGGAACTGGGTATGTCTAGTTTAATGAAAAGGACTAGGGGAGACATGATAGCAGTCTTCCAATATCTCAGGGGCTGCCCCAAAGAAGAGGGAGTCAAGCTATTCTCCAAAGCCCCTGAGGGCAGGACAAGAAGCAATGGGTGGAAACTCATCAAGGAGAGAAGCAACTTAGAACTAAGGAGGAATTTCCTGACAGTGAGAACAATTAATCCGTGGAACAATTTGCCTCCAGAAGTTGCAAATGCTCCAATACTGGAAGTTTTAAAAAAGAGATTGGATAACCATTTGTCTGAACTGGCGTAGGGTTTCCTGCCTAAGCAGGAGGTTGGACTAGAAGACCTCCAAGGTCCCTTCCAACTCTGTTGTTCTATTCTAAGATGTCTCTGCAAAGCTGGGGAATTCTGGGAGTTGAAAGTCCACAAGTCTTAATGTTGCCAAGTTTGGAGAACTCCCTGTGCTACACATTTACACCCGCAGAGGCCACTACCTAAAGATGTCACACTTAGCTGACTCCTTCTTATACTTTCTCCCCTGCTTCCCTTCTGTTCTTATCTGTGTGCTGCAGATATAGTGGAGAGTCGACGGGAATACGAACGGGAATCGGCTAGCGGGACACCCCTCCACGCCGATCCAACTCATCAGCAGCTCATGTCTCGGGTGTTAAGTCCGGCGCTCCCGGTTCCTGGTGGTGGCGGCTTGGTCCCCCTCCCTAGTCCAGCTGGAAGTCGGCCTAGTCCCCCCCATCATGAGTTGCGGCTGGACCCCCCTGCTTCCGAACCTCTCCATCACCATCCCTACAAGCATCCGGTCTCCGCTTACGACCATTATCTAGGAGCCAAGAGCCGGCCAGCCCCCTACCCCTTGCCCGGTATCCGAGGACACAGTTACCACCACCATCATCACCACCACATGAATCCAGCTGCTGCTGCAGCTGCGGCTGCTGCCGCCGCGGCCGCCAACATGTATTCCACTGCCGGCGCGCCCACGACCTATGACTACGGACCGAGATAACGTCTCCGATGCACGCTCCTCGAGCTCGGACCGACTCTTTGCATGGTGTGAATTGCTCAGTACGTTTGGGAAGCGTTTCCTGTTTTGTCGAATTTGGGGTGGGGTATGGGGAAAATCCGCCATCGTCCCCCTTGTGCACACGGTTTTCTTCCTCGCGCCATCCTTTCCACCAGGTTCTGTTGTTGGACACGTCGTTCAAGATTTGTGTTGTGTTTTTCCCATCCGGGGAGTTGTGATCTTTGGCTCGCGTTTGGGGCAATGCGGTGGAGCGATGGAAGGCTGGCGTTCTCTCGTACTCGCTTTATGTCGCCGGCTGTGGGGCTCGAAGGGCAGTTTCTCCTCTCCTCAGCTTTCCACTCGGCCCTCTGAGGTGCAGTTCCTTCTCCCTGGCGTAACCCACCAAGCGTCCAGGTGTTGTTTCCTAGCTGTTCTGGCCCTGATGCAGCTCTATACAGGTAGTCCTTGACTTACAACCGTTCCCTTAGTGACTTTTCAAAGTTACGACGGCCCCAGAAAAAAAGGTGACTTCCGACTGTTCTTCAGCTAACGACCCCATAGTCACGGGATCAAAATTCGGCCCTGTGGCGACCGGCATGTATCTGTGACCGTTCCATTGTCAAGGGATGGCCATTGGTAACCTTCCCACCCAACTTCCAACTAGTCAATGGGGGGAAGCCAGATTTACTTAACATCCACATGATTTACAGATTTAACAGACTTGGAAGGGATCTTGTAGGTCATCTAGTCCAAGCAGGAGACCCTACACCCATGATGGCGAACCTATGGCATGTGTGCCACAGGTAGCATGCAAAGCCATGTCGCCTGGCACGCCAGCTCAGCTCTGACACGCATGCGTTGGAGTCTCTGGAGGCTGGGGACAGCAAAAAAGTCACTTCCTGTCCAACCAGAAGTTGGGAAATGGCCTGTTTTGGGCCTCCGGGGGCCTCCAAGGGAGTGGGGAAGGCTGTTTTCGCCCTCCCCAGATGCATAGAGAGGATCTGGAGCCAGATGAGAAAGAAAAACAGGCCAACCGGGCCATCACGTGCTAGGAACGGGAGGAAGGGGGGGGTCGCATGCGCGGGGCGGGGCGCATAGAATTATGGGTGTAGGTACACATGCACGCGAACCTCTCCCGCCCCCCCCCCTTCCTGGCACGCGATGGCAAAAAGCTTAGCCATCACTGCCCTACACCATTTCTGACGGGCCAGCCCAGTCTCTTCTTGCAAGCTTCCAGTGATGAAGCTCTCACAACCCGTGAAGGCAAGTCCCTCCACTGAATATAGAATAACATAGTTGGAAGGGACCTTGTAGGTCATCTAGTCCAACCCCCAACCCCAGCCCAAGCAAGAGACCCTACATCATTTCTGACAGATGGCGGTCCGATCCCTTCTTGATTCATTTAACAACTGCAGGGATTGGGTGAACAACATGTGGCAAACATGGGGTACCGCTCACTTAACCACCGCCTCACTTAGCCACGGAAATCTGGGGCTCAATTGCGGTCGTAAGTCGAGGACTACCTCTTTGTTCCCCCCTGGCCCGTTCTTCCTACCGTAGTGGGGACCACGTCACCCACCAGGGTTTCTTTTACAGTGTTGAGGATCCAGTCTCAGCGATCTCTGTTGGAGAGCAGTTGGGAACACCTGATTGGGACAATCTACATCCGACCTTGGAGAGCTTTGCCCATCCAGGTACGGCTCAGGAATTCTGGGAGTTGAAGTCCACAGGGGCCATAAAGGGGCCGTAGTTCCCCACTCCCTGGAGTAGACCAACCTGGCCTACAGGTAGTCCTCATCTTACAACTGTTCGTTTAATGACCGAAGTTCCAACAGCCCTAAACGTAGAATAGGAGAATAACTTTTATCGTCACTTTAAATGTACACTAATCGGCATATATATATATTTTTTAAAAAGTGACTTTTTTTCACACTTACGGCATCCCCATGGTCACACACGATCCAAATTCAGACGCTTGGCAACTGACTCGTATTTATGTCGGTTGCAGTGTCCCAGTGTCCCCTTTTGCGACCGCCCGACAAGCAAAGTCAATGGGGAGAGCCAGATTCATTTAACAATGGTACGACTTACTTAACCGTTTCAGGGATTCCCTTAACCCCCGTGGCATGAAAAACGGGGCAAAATTCACTTTAAACAGAACATAACAGAATAACAAGAGTTGGAAGGGATCTTGGAGGTCATCTAGTCCAACCCCCACCTCCCCATCCCCAAGCAGGACACCCTACACCATTTCTAACAGGGGGCAGCCCAGTCTCTTCTTGAAAGCTTCCAGGGATGAAGCTCCCACAACTTCTGTAGGAAAGTCGTTCCATTGCATATAGAATAAATGAGTTGGAAGGGACCTTGGAGGTCATCTAGTCCAACCCCCACCCCCCACCCAAGCAGGAGACCCTACACCCGTGATGGCGAACCTATGGCACGCGTGCCAGAGGTGGCACACAGAGCCCTCTCTGTGGGCATGTGTACCGTTGCCCGCTGCTCTTCCGGTTTCTAGAAAACCAGGCTGTTTTCCAGAGCCATTTTGGGGTCATTTTCTGGGTTCTTTTCCAGGCTGTTTTTAGGCAGTATTTTTGGGCCATTTTCGGCCAGAAAGATGGCCAGAAAACAGGTCACTCTCCTGCCTTTTTTTAGGCTGCTTTTTGAGTGTTTTCAGGCCGTTTTTGGGCCATTTCCAAAAATGGCCCCCCCAAATGCCCAAAAAACAGGCTGCTTCCGCCGGCCAGCTGGTTTTTGGGTTTCCGGTGCCGGCGTGCACACATGCATGCACACGTGTTCCAGTTTGGGCTCTTGATGTCGAAAAGGTTCGCCATCACTGCCCTACACCATTTTTGACAGGGGGCAGCCCAGTCTCTTCTTGAAAGCTTCCAGGGATGAAACTTCCGAAGGCAACCTCTGTTCCAATTCAACACAGATCTCACTTAGCGACAGAAATCTGGGGCTCAATTGTGGTTGTAAGCTGAGGACTACCTGTGTGCTGGAAAGAAGGCAGCTTCCTGCATGCCTCCCTAACCCGGCAATCCTGGGACGTTGTCTTCTTCGGCCTTCTGAGTGACGGGCACAGCTGACGACGATCGTCCTGGACTATGCGGTCCCTCCTGACCTGCGCTCAGTTGTCACACGCAAGCATGTGCTTAGCACATGACTGGCATGGGCCGGGTGGGCGCTGAGATGCCGACGGTGGCATCTCTTGGTCCCCTGCCACCCAACCTCTCCTGATCCATGCCTCTTGTTTCGGGCTGGTGCCAAGCCAACCATGCCCTTGAGTTCTGGAATTCTCATTGTCACTAACAAGGCATTTCGGAAGCCCGGCCAACTCCACCCACCAGAAGCAATGGCTTTCACGAATGCAGGTCCTCCTCGACTTAACAACGGTTTCTTCAGTCCCCGTTCGTGACTTATGACCACCGTTGCAACATCCCCCACGGTCAAGCGATCAAAACTCAAGGCGGCTCGGCGACGGACTCGTATTAGTGACCGTGTTCCTAGCATAACATTTGCAGTGATTTCGCTTAGCCTTCCTCGTGGCAAGGAAGGTCACGAAATGTGCGTGGGGGGAAAACCCCTCGCTTTGCAACTGCCTCGCTGAGCGACGGAAATTTGGCACTCAACGGTTGGTCGTAAGCTGAGGACTATCTGTATTCCCCATATCCCAACAGTGTTATTAGGGCCGGTGGACGCCAACGGAAATAATACAATCTCCCTGCCGCAAGAGCATCCCACCCACTCTCGAGAAGCAGAAGAGAGAGAAGGGGCCACAGGAGGAGGAGAGCCTTGGAGGAGGTCCAGGGTCGTTTATTTATTTATTTATTTTTCCGGCAGCCGGCTTGAGACGCGGTTTAGAAAGAATCCGTAAGCAGCCCCTGGACAGAAAGCGTTGGAAGGGACTTTGGAGGTCTTCTAGTCCAACCCCACCCCACCCCTTCCCACAAGCTGGAATAAAAACCGATGTTTTCTTTGGATTGGGTCTTTCCATGGAACTGAGATCTTCCGTTCACAAGGATGAGCAGAATCGTCCTCTTAAGAGAAAGTTGGCCAGGTTAGGGAGCAGTTCGGTGGGTGGATCAGAAGAGGTGTCACAATCCAAACTGCTCATCCTACACTCACTCTCTTTCTCTCTCTCTTCTCTCTCTTTCTCCCTCTTTTGTTTCTTTGTCTTTGTCTTTGTCTCTTTTCTCTCTTCTCTCTCTCTCTCTGTGTTTCTTTGTCTTCCTCTGTGTGTCACTTTCTCTCTCTCTCTCTCTTTTGTTTCTTTGTCTTTCTGTGTCTCTTTCTCTTTCTCTCTCTTCTCTTTCTCCCTCTTTTGTTTCTTTGTCTTTCTCTGTCTCTCTCTTTTTCTCTCTCCTCTTTCTCTCTTTGTTTCTTTGTCTTCCTCTGTGTGTCTCTTTCTCTCTCTCTCTCTTCTCTCTCCTTCTCCCTCTTTTGTTTCTTTGTCTTTCTCTGTCTCTCTCTTTTTCTCTCTCTTTCTTTCTCTCTCTCTGTTTCTTTGTCTTCCTCTGAGTCTCTTTCTCTCTCTCTCTCTTCTCTCTCTTTCTCTCTCTTCTCTCTCTTTCTCCCTCTTTTGTTTCTTTGTCTTTCGCTCTCCCTCCCTCTCTCTCTCTCTCTCTCTGTTCAGTCTTTTATCTTGGTGCAAAACCACAGGATGAGAAATCCTCTTGGTCTTCCAAGAAGAGTTGATGATGGTTGACCTTCAAAGGTAGAAGCTGCCAACCACTTCCATTAGCTTTGTCCTCGCAACACTGCCACACCGGCTTGGGATTCCGTAAATCAATATCATTCTTAATGTGGGTGGGTCTTTCTGCTTTTTCTTTTTAAATGAGGCGTCCGATTTTGCATAATTGATGCCTTTCTTTGCAATTCTGACATACACACACCCCCCCCAGCCTAAACTTGCCCAGCTCTGGAAAAATAAAATCAACTTCCTTTCTCCGTGCTTTTAATTCCAGCGTCTGCAGCTTTTTGCTCACCTCGGTTATTTCTTGCCTCTCCCCTTCCCCAACCACCCCCCCCCCAAAATGCAGAGGCTTAAAGTCCCAGGATAATCTCAGCAGCCAGGCGTGATATTTTTTGGGCAGCCTTTAAGGACAGGTGCGGGCACAAAACAGCTGTAGCCTTTATAATGTTTTTGCATTGTTTTGTTCGGTTTAGCTAGTGGCAAAAGCAGAAAAATGCAGCAAACTTCATGCCGTAAAAAAAAACCCCAACTTATGGTACAAAATGAAAATTTAGGTTTTGTTTCGTTAACAAATTTCGCTGTAGGATTCTTTGAAGAATCGATGTAAAATCTATTGGGAAGAATTCTGCTGTCCTGTGTGCATTGTTATAACTTTGAGAAAAAGCCCTTTACTCTTGTTTTTTCTTCTGCTTTGTGATCTCCAACGTCTCTTGAAACGCATCGGTGCCAAAGGTTTGAGTCAAAAAAACCCTATTGTGACATTGTTATATTTATTGATATTATATTATTCCAGGGGTGAAATCTAAAATTTGTTACTACCGCTTCTGTGGGCGTGGCTTGGGGGGGGTAATGTGACTGGGTGGGCATGGCCAACTTTTTTTTAAAAAAAAACTTTTTTCCCCCTACAACCTCTTTGGTTGAAGAGGTTGCAGAAAAAAATGCTTTGAAAAGCCTCTGACGATCCCAGCTGAGCCGCGCGATCATCAGAGGTTTTTTTTTTTACTTTTAAAAGTAAAAAAAAACAGCCTCTGATGATCGCGTGGCTCAGCTGGGCATGGGAGGGGGGTGCAGGGATTTTTGCAATGAACCACCCGCCGCCATCGCTACCGGATCGGGCGATCCGGTCCGAACCGGGAGCATTTCACCCCTATATTATTCCTTTTTTCTCTCCCCCCCACAAAGTGATTACGTATGCAGTTCCTGATGGTTCTTTTTTCTGCTTTTATAGTTGCTGTGTAAAAAAAGAGAAAGAGTGGAAAAACCGGGGGGGGGGGGCAACCAAAGAATCATATCTGCAAAATATGTAGATAATTTGTAGATAATTTGTAGATATGTGTAGATAACACTGGGGGAGCGGGAGGAGGGAAGATGGCAGGCAGTAACATTTATAAACAGTATTTCTCTGAGTTTTTGCTTTATCTCATTTTTCTTTTGTCCACGTGGGGGTTTCCGGGGTGCTTGTCATTTATTTTATATTTTATAGATCAAATTTAGAGGCTGCCTGTCTCACTCACAGAGCGATCCTTTGCATTAGAGACTCTTTTAGAAAAAGTGCAGAGAAGAACAACGAGGATGATTAGGGGGCTGGAGGCTAAAACAGACAAAGACTGGTTGAAGGTTGAAGGAGTATGTCTAGTTTAAGGAAAAAGAGGAATAGGGGTGACAGGATAGCAGTCTTCCAATATTTGAGGAGCTGCCCCAAAGAAGAGTAGGTCAACCTATTCCCCAAAGCACCTGAATGCAGGACAAGAAACAACGGATGGAAACTAACCAAGAAGAGAAGCAACCTAGAACTAAGGAGAAATGTTCTGACAGTGAGAACAATTCATCAGTGGAACAACTTGCCACCAGAAGTTGTGGATGCTCCAACACTGGAAGTTTTAAAGAAGATGTTGGACAACCATTTGTCTGAAATGGTACAGGGTCTCCTGCTTGAGAAAACCTCCAACCTTCACCCACATTTGGGCACTTCAAAGTCTTCAAAGTAAACATTGAAACCAATACATTCATACAGTCCCTCTTGATACATACACACACACATAGTGAATCAAGAGAGACTGTATGACTATATATGTGTGTGTGTGTGTGTGTGTGTGTGTGTTTTCTGAGGTTTTCGCGGGTGTTTGTATGTAGGTCTTTGGTTATTTGGGTTTTCTCCCGCGTAAAATTGGAGGTTTCTTGGCAACGTTTCGACGAAGTCTCATTCGTCATCTTCAGGCTGGTGTTCTCGGCTTCGTTCCTAGAAGCACGAAGCCGAGAACACCAGCCTGAAGATGACGAATGAGACTTCGTCGAAACGTCGCCAAGACACTTCCAATTTTACGCGGGAGAAAACCCGAATAACCATATATATATATATATATATATATATATATATATATATATATATATATATATATATTTTATAATGTCTTCTTAAGTTTTCGCGGGTGTGCATATGCAAAAAAATTAAAATCTCAGGTGTTTTCCCGCGTCATTATAAATAAGTTGGTTAAAATATTTAAAATCCTGGTTAAAATCCCAGCTTAAAATCTTCTAACGTCAGCAGCAGCAAATATAGATAAGCGACAGCTCCGGCCCCGCAACAGAGAACAGAGCTTCTACATGAAACAGAGCCTGAAGATGACAGGGTTGTGAGCCTGTCGAAACGTTGCTTTAAGAAAAACTTTTTAAGTCACTGGTAGGATTTTAGCTGAGGTTTTAAAGGACCTTGCAGAGTGCTCTGTAAGGATTTTTAGAAGATTTTAAGCTGGGATTTTAACCAGGATTTTAAATATTTTAACCAACTTATTTATAATGACGCGGGAAAACACCCGAGATTTTAATTTTTTGCATATTCATATAAAATAAGGGGTGAAATCCAGCAGGTTCTGACAGGTTCTGGAGAATCGGAAGCAGAAATTTTGAGTAGTTCCGAGAACCGGTTCCAGAAATTTTGAGTAGTTTGGAGAATTGGCAAATACCACCTCTGGCTGGCCCCAGAGTAGGGTGGGAATGGGGATTTTGCAGTAACCTTCCCCTGCCATGCCCACCAAGCCACGCCCACCAAGCCACACCACACCCACCAAGCCACGCCCAGAGAACCGAACAGAAGGTAGTAAAAATTTTTTTAATTTCACCACTGTATGCTCCCTCCCACATGGTGGGGTAGACCAGGTGCCTCGATAGAAAAAACACTTCATCTCTCCCCTGGCTCAAGCTGATAAAGGGAGGAGAACTTGTGGCTCAGAGGTTAATACAACCTAACGTGCAGGCAGCCCAAGTTCGAATCCGAGTAAGGGTAGGGCTAGCTGATGAGAGCTAAATAGCTTGAAATAGATGTATACTAGTCTCCCTTTATTTCTTTATCAGCGAAATATAAATTTGATATATACAAATATATAAAAATTTATATATATAAATTTGAGATATATACACATACACACACTGTTTTCCCGAAAATAAGACCCAACCAGAAAATAAGTCCTAACATGATTTTTCAGGATGCGTGTAATATAAGCCCTACCCCCAAAATAAGCCCGAGTTAAGATCGTCAGCCAGATTGGTGCATTTAGTACCGTATTTCCCCCAAAATAAGACCTAACCAGAAAATAAGCCCCAATGTATCTTTCGGAGCAAAAATTAATACAAGACCCGGTCTTATTTTTGGGGAAACAATTATGTGTGTGTCTGTGTGTGTGTCTGTGTGTATTGTGTTTGTGTGTGTGTGTAAGAACTAAGATGCTGGGGGTAAACAATTCATGAAGTCTCATTTTCTTAGTCTATATTCTCTTGGTAGTTTCCCGAACACGGAGAAACAACCTGAACACGCAGCCAGTGAGAACCTGCGCAAGCCTTTAACTGGGGTTTTGAAACAAGACACAGATGTTTGGGAAATAAACCTCTGGGGTTTTCATCTCCTAGCCTATGACATCCCAAACGGTTTGTATATGTCACATTTGTTTCGGGTAGACAGCACCCGGCTTGGCTGACCGATCTGTGACTAAATGAAGATAAATGGGCGCCTTTTCCTTACTCACATGGGAAACGAGAGGCGAGCTTTGCAAAAAGAAAGACTCACATTAAAAGAAGGACAATAACAGCCTGCACATTTTCCCCATTAAATGCATACTTTGAAGAGATTAGCTGTGGATAAGGACCTGGGTTTTAAAAAAAGATGTTTGACAGGCCCCCGTATTCTAGGTACAGGATTTCCTGATGGCTGTATGCACAGAAACCAAAAAAAGGGAGAAAAAACTGGAATCTTACATTCTTTTAACAGAGAGAGAGAGAGAGAGAGGAGAAA